ATATATACTTTAAATAAATATTCTCCTTTTTGAATTTTATTGGTGCACTTTAAGTGTATTTATTTATTAGTCAACTTATATATTTCTGCTTTTTTTGATTATGTCAGTTTTGGTCTTCCGTACTGCAGAAGCCTGATAATCATCCATTTATTCAAATCAGGTGTGTTGGAGCAGAGGAACAAGTAAAACATGCAGGGCTGCGGACCTCCAGGACCAGGATTGCCCACCCCTGCGCTAGTCAGAATTTACATGTCTAATATGTTTCAAAACAATTTCCGATATCTGGAATGAAGCCAATTTTATGTTAAATTGGCCTGCCATAGCAATTGCAAATGCAGCACAAAAGGCTGGTGTTGTCATGTTGTGTTGCCACATTGAGCTGGTACTGTAATAACTTCAGATATAAATTTTTCTTCAAACAGCTGAGGTCAAAGGAGAGAAAAGCTGAAACATTTCATTGGCTGAACATAACCTRACACAGAACCAGACTTTGCTTCTTTACAGCTTCTCTACAGTGAGCGTGTCACAAAGTGCTCCTTTCAGTTGTTGCACGTGGACACGTGTTCTGACATTTTATAGGGAGGTGGAGTATCTGTAGGTCTAGTTAGTAAAAACTTTACCCAGCACATGTCCGGGAAGTGGGGAGCTGTCTGTGGGGACGGTCCCTTCCTTCACAACACGCTGCTGGTGGGGGGAGGTGCGCTCCATTCAAACTGCCTGTCACACACACTACACCTCTGTCCGACCTGTTCACACTGCTGTTACAGAGACTTGTTTTCAACTCTTTACACTTTGGGGAAAATGTGCTGTTATGACCAGTCCAGAGGGATGGAAGTCCTTGTTAGTAAATCACAGTTAGTGAACGTTTAATGCTGAAAGGTTTTTTCCGGGAAATAAAAAAGAAAATACGAACAAAATGTTTGCATTTTGTTGTAAATAGCCAAAAAACTGACATCAGCGGAAAAAAAAGTAGATGAAAAAGCTGAATCTAGCAGAAAGAGCATGTTTGCTGAAATAAGCAGCAAAACAAGTGAATTTAGCTGAAAACAGCGAAAAAGTAGCTGAAATTGCAGAAAACAGCTGAAAGGAGCATTGAAAGTTTAAACGAACAGAAGAATGGTAAAAATCAGCAAAAGAGAAGCTGAAGGAAGCTAAAATTAGCACAAAAAAGTTGTAACGCACTGAAGGAGCTGAAAGTTGTGATACGTGAATTGTTGAAATAGGACAAAAATTGCGTAATGTTTTAACAACATTCACACAAATATGGGAAGACTGTTGGCCTGACTGTACACAAGAAACACAGCAAAGTTTAGTTGCTTATACATGTTATCCATGTGCTGAATGAAGGTTTCTATCCTGGGTGTGACATTGTTGAGGAATGTGTGGACTTGAATCGTGGCCCACCAGGCTTTAGGCCTGAGCCGAACATGGCAGTGTGGCTTCAGGTTCATCCTGACAGGTGCATCGATGCTGCTCTGGCTGCTGACATAATTGTAGGAAAATAGCTCCCCACACGTTTTAGAAGCTGGTGTCAGAGCGACGTGGACTCTGGCACATTAAAACAAAATACTCCTAACATTGTTTAAATGTGGCTCTTGTCTTGAGCAGTGGTTTGTCTCCTGATGGGCACTGACGGTGCAGCATTACATGAAGGTTTTAAAAAGTGGAGCTGTCGGCTGTGTGTTGGAGCAGTATCATAGCGATGAGCAGAGCTGAACACAGAGGACTCCTCTGAGGCTGCAGAGCGTAAACAAGAGATGTGATTGGAGGTTGGCCCGGTCTAGTCGACTCACTCAACTAGTTTTGGATCATATTTCAGACAAGAACCTAAACGTAACAATGTGTTTCAGATTGTGTGACATAGACAGTAAAGAGCCGTTTGTTTAATTATTAATACAAAACTAGAAATTATAAATTTTGTTTTTCTAGTTTTTTTATGGTGTGGTTTTGATTTGAAAGTTTTCTATCAGTCTGAGTTACATCTGTAAAAACAAAAACAAATTGTTTCTATTAGGGATGCACCGATATGAAAATTTCAGCCGATATCGATATCCGATATTATTATTGCTGTTATGGTCGATAACCGATATTTACAGATATTACACAAACACACACATTATTTAAACACGTTAACGCACAAACACATTTATGTCTTTTTTGATACCGTAAATAAACAACCAGACCTCTGACATGGCTCTACTTCAGTTATTCCTGGCTGTGCAGCGTCAATAGTAGGGGTGTAAGAAAATATCGATACACTGAAATATCACGATATTTCATTTCCCGATACTGTATTGATATTCTAAAGCCCTGAATCGATTTTTTTTTTATTAAGGTTTAAAATGTCAACTTTCCTGCCAGCCGTTCATTTTTATGTTATAGTTCAGCCTCTGACCACTAGTTGGCAGCAGTGAGCCAGCCATTTGGCTCCTCTACCTCTTGAGGTAGAGGCTATTGTTAAGTGTTGGGTGACCATATTGTAAATTAATATTAAAAACTAAAAGATGCAAAATATATATTTTCAAACTATTTATTGTCAAATTTAGTCTAATAATTGAAAACATGGATGAAATAAGAAATATGAAACAAATAAAATAAAACACATACAAAGCAGAACACAGCTAAATGTATCAAAAGCATGTCTCTGTAATATTAGAATTTTCTGAGACAATGAATTTTGGTTTTTCATTTTTTCCCCTGTAAGAGGTTTTTATTTAATAGAATTTTTGGACAAAAAAAATCGCAATATATTGCCTTGCTTATAGTATCGCAATATATCAAGGTATATCGTATCGTGACCCCTCTGTCATGATATGTATCGTATCGCCAAATTCTTGCCAATACACAGCCCTAGTCAGTATCACTATCATGATCAAACAGATGCCACTCGACCAAACGTTTTGCCTACCAAAACAGAAACAAAAAGCTAAAAAATGGAAAATCAATATCTGACATTAATATCGGCCCCGTTTTACATATCGGGCCGATACCRATATTAATGCCGATATATCGTGCATCCCTAGTTTCTATTAGAGTAATTATGTTTCTGTTTTTAGGGATGCAGCCAGGTCTTTATTTCTTTTCATAGCTTTAATGTAAAAATACAAAGTYTCTTGTGTTTTTTTTCCTTTCAATGACTCGACTGGTGAGTTCCAACAGGATTTTTATATTTGTCCTCATCACAAGGACTGTACTTCAGATGTACAGCTGCAGGTGATATCGCTATGTGTAACATGCTGTGGACACACAAACACATATTGTCCACTGACCTTTAATGAAGCAAAGCAAACACAACAATAAATAACATTTTATTAATGGTACAGTTATGTACAACAAAAAATAGTTTTGTAACTTGGATGATTTATTTACAAAGTGTTCTTCATATCTAAAAATGAGCATCTTGATACAAAAAACGCGATTTTTACAAAAATGTTTATTTACTTTTTATCTGCTTGAATTTACTTGAACGAAAAATGATCAAATATGAAACTTAAAATGTTTTAATACTGCAGAAGTGAGATTTGCAGATATTTAACGATAATTTATAAACACTTTAAAGTGACACTTTTATTCAATAAAATAAAAGCTAAACAGAGATACACCTTTGTWATAATCTTGAACATACAAATATACAACTTTTATTGTTAATATTGTTGAAATCCAAGACATTCTTAGAAACATTGCAACAGGCTGTACGTTTTGGCAAGTTTGGTCATGTCTGTACAACAACAACACTGTATATTTAATATTAGGGCTGCACGATATTACACAATCTTGCAGTGATGATATCAAGTGTGTTTTATGTCCTTTTTTTCTTTCCTTTCTTTCTAATCTGTACTTCCTACTCTGTGTGACCTTCAGCATGTTTGGCAATGTCATTTGTGTCCGATGTGACTTTCTGCTGCTATAAGACCCTGTTCTACTGGATATATTGCATTAGCATGACAAACACAACTTCCAAACTTCAAATGCATTAGTCATCAATCATTGCACGCTCTTTGTCTTATGAATATTTCACACTGATACTGGAACAACGATGTACTGAGCAAATCTATTTAATACAATGTATATTTTAAATATAGAAGTACCGGAGAGGTCGGGGTGTAACGCCTCCCCCAGCTGCAGTGAGTCAGTCACGCAAAAACAGGAACAGACGTTTATTAATGTATTACTTTGTGGGGGGGCCAGCCCAGGCCCCCCGGTCTAATGCCAGGGAAAAGTTAATGAGWTCCTGTCGGCTTTAAGAACATTGATAAGAAGCTCTTAGTTTAATTAGGTAAGGACTGTGTTTATGTGGGATGCCTGGAAGTGACATGTCTCCATGTCAGGGAGCTGTGGCACCTGATAAAAGTGACTCGTCCTGTTGTTCTGGAAACGCAGCGCTGCTTTAGCAGGGGGAGACATAAGCATATTTTTCAGGTTGTCCTGTTGACAAAACCTGGTTGTCCGCAAATCATTTTGGTTGTCCAAAAGAATCTCAAGAAAAATGTAATTTAACAAGCATATTGTTCTGTAGACAAAGTTTATTATATCTAATAGTTCTCAGTCAGCCAGGTTGACAGGATCTGTGTGAATAAAACTTCCTCATTCTCTTCTTTGAAATAGAGTATGTAAGGCTCAGGGAGTAAAGCAGCAAAAATGTTGCTAATAAAATCTAGAGGTTACCCAACATTCATAAACTTCTTTCTGCTCATAGGTCAAACATTTTCACTTAAATAGATTACCTTATTAAAAGTTACAGTTCAGTGTTCTGGTGGCTTTACCAAGTTTTTTCTCCCTTTCATTTTTTACAAATGACGGACACCCACGGCAGAGAACTTTAAAGTGAATGTTACCCCCTGTGAAAAGATAACTCAGCCCCAAGGCGAAATTTGAAAAATGCATCAAAGTGGGCAGGGGAGGGGGTGTGGATGGGCGGAGCGGAGGTGTGGCCAGAACGAGAGAACGTGACAGCCTCGGCTGAGCTGTCCGCCTCACAGGACAGAGGAGGTGGAGCGCTCCACGACAGCCTGATAGAAAAAAATAAAAACATACAGCTGCAGCTGCTCACAAGATCACTAGTTTAAATCAGGAATAAAAGTGTTGGGTCTTGTTTGACTGAAGTTTGGTCCGTTAGGGCTGCAGCTGCCCCGCTGGCTTTCTACCTTTTTTTCCCTCCTCCCCTCCCGCTGTGCAGGACGTACTGCTGGTTTGTGTGTGTGTGTGTGTGTGTGTGTGTGTGTGTAGAGAGAGAGAGACAGCAGCCAGCACCTCTCTCCACCCGAGGCTGAAGGTCAACAGACGATCATGCTAAGCTTGCTAACTGTTCCACCCTCTGACTGCTGCAGGGGCGTGTCTTAGAGAGAGGCTTTTATACCAGAACACAGCCGCTGTGACGAAACYGTGGAGAAGACACGTCACCGTGGAGAGCYGTTAACCAATATGCAAATTAGCCTGCAGTACCACTGCTCTACCCATATGAGCAGCAAAAACACGTTTTTAGACCAAATACTGTATTACAGATTTGAACAAATATGCACAAAAACATCACAATTAGCACAGAAACAGTACTATATAACATTTTAGACACATTCTAGACAGTTTATCAAATAAAAAAAGTTAATTTTGGGGTAAGTTACTCTTTAAATAATGTCTTTTTTTCTTGGCTGTCCACCGGACAACCAGGAGACAGGATCTGGTTGTCCGGAATGAAAATAGGTTGTCCGAGACAACCTGACCAATGGTTACGTCTACCTGTTTAGTGGAAWAGAAGTTCCGTCCAACAAGATTTGTTTTGTTCCAAGAGGCTGGAGCGTGGAGGAGCTTCGTCTCCTCTGGGTTCAGGTTCAAGGCTTTGCTACAGATGTAATAAACAGCTATGTGCTCTTATTCTCTTTAAACTGATCCTTTCCACCATCCAACATGTCGTCTTTAAATGTTTTATCATCCAAGTGAAAGATATTTAGAGCAAACTGAGAAGCTAACATTTAGGATTTAAATCTGCACGCAGGTGGAAAGTCTGATATAAAGTCTGACTGGGTGTTTACTTTTTCCTCCTCAGTTAAAATCCTCTTGTTCTACGTGATTTTCTACGGATGTCTGGCTGGGATTTTCATCGGGACCATTCAGGCAATGCTGCTGACGTTAAACGACTACAAACCCAAGTATCAGGACCGAGTCGCCCCCCCAGGTAAGCAGCACTCTCTCCTGTTGTAGTCGGCTCGCTGCGGCCCAAACATCAGCCCGGGAGCGGTTTGTGTAACAAACAGCTGTTTGGGTGTGCCTTCTGAGCAGCTCCTCTATCAGGAATCTTTCTGACCTCAAACACGCTCGGCCATTTTGTCCTTCACTCTGAACCGGTCGATGGTTCTCCCCCCAGGCTGCAGGGGGAACTAAAACGATCCGTGAGTCACAGCTGCCATGTTTACACTCTCTGGACTGAAATGGTTTGTTTTGCAGTGTCAAGAGCTCTCAAAAGTTTTTTTTTTTTTCTGCTTTCATGAGGGGGAAAAAAACAACAACAAACTTTCTATCTCATGAGAACACCATCTGAGCGTTCTGAAACTTCCTGCTCGCTCTGAGATGGGTTTTCGTGTGCCAGCCCTGGTGGTGCCGTGCCAGTGCTCGTTTGCGCGGCACATGCTTCAGCCTCAGTGGTATTTTTAGCAGCCATTGTAAAACGTTGGCCTTCACGCGCCTGCAGCTCTGACCACGAGCATTGACAATCACAGATCTGCAGCCTCGAACAGAGAGTCGGCAGTTCGAGCTGAAGCAACTTTCCAGTAGAGGCACGATTGAGGAAGCAGGTTTTTTTTTTTTTTCCCTCTGTCAGAGCAGAACCCGCCTCCCACTCTGAGGCTAAAAGTTTCCATTGTGAGACACACACACACACACACACATACACACGTGAGATTAGATATGGGTGGGGGCAGGGCGTTGGTGAACTTTCACAAGCCTTTAAATGCTCTTTCTCTGCCTCCAGAATAAGTTGTGGCTGTAATATAAAGAGATCCAACAGTAAATGAATGTCACGTTTCCTCTCATCGATCGTCTCGTTCTCCCTGTGCCCTGGCTCCTTCAAGCCCTGTGTGGTCTGTGGAAAATTACAGTGAGCAGACAGAGACCACCAGAGGAAAATCCCCAACATCCCACATTGTCTCAGAATAATACAGAAACCAGCAGCAGCTTTGTTTGTTCCTCCATACTTAAAAACAACTTGTACTGTATGACGACTTTTATTTGTTTATTACCGCATCTAATACCGACTCTGGTTTCAGGTCTGTCCCACACGCCCCGCTCAGACAAATCAGAGATTGTCTTCACACTGAGCGATCCAGAATCATATAAGAAGTACACTCAGACCATGAGGGACCTTCTGAAACTCTATGATGATGAGAAACAGACTGATCAGATGTTTGAGGATTGTGGAGGTGAGTTTGAGCAGATTGTCTTCCTGATGGTTTAACACACATCAGTCCAGATTTGTTACCCAGTCACAACTAATAACATTCATCTTCTTTGAGCAAAAGGGCATGGAAGAGTTTTATAAATCAAAGCATTCATTGTTTAAAATAGTAACATTTCATTTTCGTGCTGTAGGGTAGGGGTGGGCGATACTGGTCGAAAAAATGATCACGGTTAATTGTGGCATTTATCCGATAAAGATTACTAGGTGAAAATTGCACTTCCTTTTGACTGTAGGGAGGGTCGGTGTTAGCTTAGCATTAGCTCCTTGTTAGCATTAGTGTTAGTTCAGCACCACAATGAATTATATGTGAGTAATCGCAGTCATGACCAAATGCTAAACACTAATTGGTGACACTTTTTTTTGACATGATACAGTTTTGCCCAACTCTAGCTGGAACCTGGAAATGGAGTGTTAGCTTAGCATTAGTGTTAACTCTGTGCTGCAGTGACTTCTATAAGTCACTATTCACAGTAATTGTAAAGTGCCAAATATTAATTGGTGATAGTTTTTTTTTTTTGAAGATTAATTGCACACAATACAGTTTTGCCTGACAATACCATGTTTATTTAAATTATAGGTTAAATGTAGGGGTAGGGCTGCCACGATTAATCGATTAATCGACGACTAATCGATTATTAAAATAATCGATGACTAATTTAATAATCGATTAATCGTTTTCTTTCTTTTTTTTTTGTTCTTTACTATTTTTTCTCTCCAAACTGCTTTGACACCTTCCACTGCCACATCTACCTTTCTGTCCTTGACAC